AATAGATAGCCAAATTTCAGGCTCACATAAAGCGCATCCCCAAATTCAAATTTGGTGGGATTTGGAGATGATCGGCCTGAAAATACATCGCAATAATCATTCATTGGTGTCTGACAATCCCTAGAAGGTGGGAAAATAAATGATTGTGCATGTGGATCAATATAATTAGTCCCTCTATCTATCATCTGATTGTGCATGCGGATCAATATAACTGGTTCCCTTCATATGTTTTGTGCCATCTTTATGAGGCGTGACAAACTCCTTGACTTCCTCTTTGGGCATTGGAATGTACATAAAGGCGTGACAAACTCCTTGTCTTCCTCTTATGAAAAACGTGCAGGCGAATGCCCTAGCCCGATTAGCTTCGAGTGCCAGCATGGAGTGTGTAGAATACGTCCAAGTAGGACAGAATGAGCAAGACATCGTAACCAACAGCTCCATAATGAACGCCGAGTCGACCACTTGGGAGGACGACTCCGCATGGATGCGACAGCTAAGGAGATGTCATGAAACCGGGGCACTACCAGTCGATCCAACGGAGGCTGGATCACTCCGCACCTGAGCGGCCCGGTTCACGATCGTCGTAGACAAATTTTTCATACCTAGCCCTCATGAAAAAGAAGATAGTCAAATTCCAGCACATAAAACACATCCCCAATTTCGAATTTGGTGGGATTTAGAGATGATCGGCCTGAAATGCATCACAACACTCATCCACCGATGCCTGGCAATCCATAGCAACTAGGAAAATAAATGATTTGTTGGTGAGGAATGATTAGGCAGGGTTTTATTAGCAGAGAAAGATGATCAATCCCTCTATCTATCATTTGATTGTGCATGCAGATCAATATAATTAGTTTCCCTTCATATATTTTGTGCCATCTTTATGAGGTGTGACAAACTTCTTGACTTCCTCTTTGGACATTGGAATGGAAATAAAGGCGTGACAAACTCCTTGACTTCCTTTTACGAAAAATGTGCAGACGAATGCCCTAGCCCGGTTAGCTTCAAGTGCCGACATGGAGAGTGTAGAATACGTTCAAGTAAGATGGAATGAGCAAGCCTTCGTAACCAGCAGCTCCATAAATATTGAATCGACCACCCAGGAATGCAAGTCCGGGTGGATGCGACCTATAAAGAGATACATAGAGACCGGGGCACTACCAGCAGATCTAAAGGAGGGCACCTGAGCGGCCCAGTTCACGATCATCGCGGACAAATTGTCCATACCTAGCCCTCGTGAAAAAGAAGATAGCCAAATTCCAGACTCATATAAAGCACATCCCCAAATTCAAATTTGGTGGGATTTGGAGATGATCGTCTTGAAATGCATCACAATAATCATCCACCGGTGCCTGACAATCCATAGCAAGTGGGAAAATAAATGATTTGTGGGTGAGGAAGGATTAGGTAGGGTTCTATTAGCAGAGAAAGATGATCGATCACTCTATCTATCATCATTGTGCATGCGAATCAACATAATTAGTTTCCCTTTATATATTTTGTGCCATCTTTATGAGCCGTGACAAACTCCTTGACTTTTCCTTTGGACATTGGAATGGAAATAAAGATGTGACAAACTCCTTGACTTTCTTTACTAAAAATGTGCAGACGAATGCCCTAGCCCCGTTAGCTTCGAGTGCCCGCATGGAGAGTGTAGAATATGTCCAAGTAGGATGGAATGAGCAAGCCTTTGTAACCAACAGCTCCATAATGAATGTCGAGTTGACCACCCAGGAGGATGACTCTGGGTGGATGCTACTGATAAGGAGAAATCTAGAGATCGGGGCACTACCAGCCGATCCAAAGTAGGGCACCTGAGCAGCCCGGTTCACGATCAAATTGTCCATATCTAGCCCTCTTGAAAAAGAAGATATCCAAGCTCCAGCCTCACATAAAGCACATTCCCAAATTTGAATTTGGTGGGATTTGGAGATGATCGGCCTGAAATGCATCGCCATAATCATCCACCGGTGTCTGGCAATCCATAGCACGTGTGAAAATAAATGATTTGTGGCTGATGAAGGATTACGTAGGGTTTTATTAGCAGAGAAAGATGATCGATCCCTTTATCTATCATCTGATTGTGCATGCAGATCAATATAATGGTTATAAGTGTGTAAGGTACATAGTATCAGCGAATAAATTAAGTTAGTCTCTAATTTAGTAGGCGCGTGTTTAAATTACAAGTTTCAAAAGACAAAATCAAACCCGATTCTGTAAGCTTAGACTATTGTCGGCCTATTTGTAACAAGTTATCAATATGATGCTTGGGATCGATGTGAAGCTCCATTGATGAATAATTAATAACTCGATCGCATCTGTAACCTAATAGGTGTGCGCATGTTCCAAAAGTTTCAATAAACAAACTAAGACTCGAAGCCTGAACGATAGCCAATAAAAAAGGTGAACCCTATTACTACACTTGATTGATTGTCTATGATTGTATTTGGTTAGAATATAAGTTAGCTTATAACTTATTTGATTAACTTATAAGTTTTCTTTATTCAAATAAGCTTGTTTGATAGGACAAACTTATAAAAAAAAAAAAAAAAAAAAAAAAAAAAAAAAACTCGAGCTTATCTCTAAGCTTCAGTGGGTAACTTTTCAAATAAGTCATTGAGTTTTTTTATTTCAGATAGCTTATCAACTATTTTTTTTAAGGCAAGACTCTCAACCTGTGTATAGATATGCCCAAGTGGGCTGGAGAATAACAGGTCTACAAGTTCATACAACAAGCACAAACAAAAAGACCGGAAACAAAAGAGAAAAGCAAAAGAAAGGAAAGGAGAAAGACAACGGCCAATGTGAAAAATCTGAAAACTGGCTAACAGGTGTCCAGGCAAACAGTCTGCCGCCACAAGTGCGCTAAAGCGTAAGAAACCAAAACGACTACCCAAATCTGAAAGATGGGTAACCAAGCTGATCCATCTGTATAAGCGTGCGGAGTCGGAGTGGGGTATCGTCTGGCTGAAGGATGCGCCTCTGGGGAGTGGAAGCACCGATGCACTCTAGAAAGTCAGTGGGCTAGTTTCCCTCGCAGAAAATGTGCCATATCCGATAGCGAACCAACTGGAGTATGGATCTAATGCGCATAAGTGGTGCTGAATCGACCATGAACCCTGATGGCCTGATGTCAAGAGTGTGATGACAGCGGCGTCATCCAACTCAATCCAAATGTGAGAAGAGATAGAGGTTGCGATGAGGACCGATCTGAAGTGTCTGCATCTCTGCGTCATAACTCGAGGTGGCCTGAAGAGGAGCGTGGAAAGCGTTAATCTCCGCTGGCACAACCCTAATCAGACCCCCTCCTCCGATGGCTTCGGTAAGTCGGTCGTAAGATCCGTTTATGTTTAGCTTAATCCAAGGGGGATTCGGGTGATAAGTCATAAGTTATAAACTATTAGATATAAGTTCCAAATTAATTTACAAGCTATAAGGTAGCTTATAAGCTATAATTCTCTATGTACGTGCCCCTCACACTCGCCTGCATAATAATGTCTTTTCCTAATTTCAATGTTTGATAAATTATTTTGTTAATACTATCTTAATAATTTATTTAATACTATCTTAATAATTTAATCTTCTTCTAAAGAACAACGACAATATTATAGTTTCAATAATTATTTGATTCCCAATTATGATCAATTACCATTAATTAATATTGTGTGTTAGTTTTTGCTGGATTGCACGTAGTGTTCTCCATTAAATTAAATTTACTCTACTTTCTACTTCCTCACACAGTTGACTACAAATGTATAATGGATTATTTAAAGTCAAGCATTGTGACATATATTATGTGTTGCATAAATAATGCTCAATGTGACATCTATGCTTCTTTCTAAAATGAAATAAAATAATAATAACTATTATTATTGAGTGTTCATTTGTTGAAATAATTTTTTTGATTCGTATGCAGATTTTTCGCTGTCCAATAAATTGTTTGAAAAAAAGGTACATGGTGACCTTTTGTGTGTGATAAATTGACAGGTACACAAGTTATATTAATATAGCAAAAGCTTTTCGGCCTAATTGCATGTATGATGTATCAGGCCAGCTAGCTAGTCTTATTAGGCGTAGTATTGAAGTAATTTTTATTGGAATTCAATTAATTAATAGTAGTCCAATAATTATTAAACTTGACCAATTTAATTAAAATTTCGATCATGAATTCAAATGGCCAAAAATTAAGAAAACTGATCGGAATTTACTGGGATACTTACGCATAACCATAACTATTCATTTTTCAATCCAAATTGTTTCATATAATGGTCAGTTAAAAAATAAAAATACAAATTAGATATAAATTAATTAAAATCTGGCCCAATAGTTGTCACCCACAAGCTCACATTCTAATAAAATAAAATATAATAAAACCAAATTTATTAATGAATAATGAAGATCAGAAGAAGGTGGTGAAGTTATGCAGCGAATGTGTAATGTTGTTGTGGTGCCAGGCTTGCACTCTAATACTACTCTACCATCGAATATCGTTGCCACTAAGTAATAAGTTTTGCTTCAAAGCCAACCGATTCTAATTATATTATTATTGTTGTTATTATACTAATTAACTAATTGTTTGTCTTCTGTTAGACTAACTAATGGCTAGACAATCACACTTTTGAACAAATGTATATACTTTTATATTTAATTGTCATATTTTAAAATACTATATAATAAAAGTATGACATTTTATAATACAAATATGCATATTTCGTAAGAAAGTATGAATGTCTAGCGATCTACAACTTAACAAGTTCATTTTTTAATTAACTAAATATAAATATTCACACTCACAATATATATATAGATTACTTATGCATGTATAATACCTTACTTGTTCAAGTTTAAGACATCATCAATACACATACTATATACATATGTCAACTTCCTAAAGTTCTAAGTGCAAGAAAAGAAGTTCTCTCTCAACACACTTCAAAAGGGTTTGCCTTTACCACACTCAAACACCACAAACTTAACACTATACACACCAAAATTATTAAGCCAAATCCCAATTATCCACACACACATATATATATAGCAACTCCAACTCTCCTCATACAACTCATTTCATCAACTTCCTTCTCCTCACAATCTCTATAAT